TCTAGTTCTGTTCTAGTTCTGTTCTAGTTCTGTTCTAGTTCTGTTCTAGTTGTGTTCTAGTTGTGTTCTAGTTCTGTTCTAGTTCTGTTCTAGTTCTGTTCTAGTTCTGTTCTAGTTCTGTTCTAGTTCTGTTCTAGTTCTGTTCTAGTTCTGTTCTAGTTCTGTTCTAGTTCTGTTCTAGTTCTGTTCTAGTTCTGTTCTAGTTCTGTTCTAGTTCTGTTCTAGTTCTGTTCTAGTTGTGTTCTAGTTGTGTTCTAGTTGTGTTCTAGTTCTGTTCTAGTTCTGTTCTATTCTAGTTCTATTCTAGTTCAGTTGTAGTTCAGTTGTAGTTCAGTTCTAGTTCAGTTCTAGTTCTGTTCTAGTTCTGTTCTAGTTCTGTTCTAATTCTATTCTAGTTCTGTTCTACTTCTGTTCTACTTCTGTTCTAGTTCTATTCTAGTTCTATTCTAGTTCTGTTCTAGTTCTGTTCTAGTTCTATTCTCGTTCTATTCTAGTTCTATTCTAGTTCTGTTCAAGTTCTGTTCTAGTTCTGTTCTAGTTCTGTTCTAGTTCTGTTCTAGTTCTGTTCTAGTTCTGTTCTAGTTCTATTCTAGTTCTGTTTTAGTTCTGTTCTAGTTCTGTTCTAGTTCTGTTCTATTTATGTTCTAATTCTGTTTTTGTTCTGTTCTTGTTCTAGTTCTCTTCTAGTTCTGTACTCTTTCGAGTAAAAATTAGTACCATTTCAAAATTTAAATTTTCCATGCCTGATATCAATACTTGATCATTGCTTTTGTTTATTAAGTTTTTCAATTTTATTGCGATATTTTAATTATATTATTTATCCAATTCTTATAAAGCGAAACATTTAACTTGTCATCAAATTGTTAGTTTGACAGTTGACAAGCGGTTTTTACTGTTTTATTTTTTTTCCGCTCAACTTTGTTGCGAAAGTTTTGCTTTGTTTCGGTTTACATGTTGAGATCGGGTATGATTCTATAATATTTTCATTATTTTCTCAAATTAGTTAAATGTAACCACATTAATATTAATATTATTTTTTACATGATTCCCATTTTAAATAAATTCTATACAAATTTAAGTTTTACGTAAAAATATTTTGATTGCATTTTTAATAGAGAAATAAATGTTTAGTGTAACAGAGTTGCCAGGTGAGGAGGATGAAAAGGGGAATTGGATATAGTTAGAGGTATGACAGTTGGTATAGATGTGTAACATTCAAAACTTAAGTTTAGGCTTAGAAGGGGTTTTTGGCTTTAGGGTTTTGAAATGCTTGAGAAAGAAGTATGAGAAATGTTTATTTCTAATAGTTGGCAACTCTTTTCTTTTATTTTTTTTGTGTGTTGTAAGTAACAAATGGTGATAGTTAAGAAAATGAAAATGAGATGTGTTTGTTATAATTTTTTACGATTGGATGCCATATGATTTCAATTTGTTGTCCGTCTGTCTGTCTCTCTATTTGATCGGTTTGTTCACGAATTGTCGTAAATAATGAAAATGTATACAAAACAAGTGGCTATTTATATTTATAGTTTTTTTTCTTACTTTTTTATTATTATTTTTTCTTTATTTTGAGACGCTGTTCAGTCAATGAAAACGCGTTTGAAATTTGTTTATTTTTTGTTCTATTCAATAATTTTCTATGTCGTGTCTGTCGTCTGTAGTTTGGAACAATTGCCGCTGATCTAATCAGAAATAAAAAAAATAACAAAAAACGTAAAACGTTTTGTATTATTTGTGCCTCATATAAGATATAATTGATTAGTTTTCTCATTTTGTAAATTGTAGTGTAATTTTATTATATTATTTTTTAAATATAGTCATTTGATTTTGTTTACATTTTTATTTTTCTATAAACGATTTTTTATATTTCATACAAACTACAATTTATTTATGATGACTAAATTTCAAGTTTATCGTTTTTTAGAAAAAAACAAAAAATTTCAAGAAAAAAAAAAAAAATAAAAAGAAATTTATAAAACGTTTCTATAACTTCCGGCTAATAATCATCAAGAGTTTTTTTTTTGCATTATGGGAAAAATCATTTATTTTTTGTTTAAATAATTGCACTTTAATTTGCAACAATATGGCAACATTTGTTACCTTTCTTATTATTTTTTTGTTGCAAAGAAAAGTTTTTGTTTTTTATTTTTGCTAATTAACACTCTTTAACTAATTTGTTTTGCATTTTTTAACCAGAATCTAGTTTTGTTGAAAAATCTTCAGTTTTGTTTGTTAATTTCTTATTGCAACTTGTTTGTTTGCTTTTTTTCATAATTTTATTCATAAATTGTGGCTTCTTTTAAACGTAAATCTACCAAACGTCCTAAATCGTTATTGGTGGAAAATGTGGTAACATTTGTGCGTAAATTTAGTCAAAGGAAAAGTACGCGTAAAGCCATTCAATATGGCAACTCGGAGGTGCTTAGTGTTGTGATAAAAGAAGGTGGGTTTGGTACATGAACGACAAGTTCATAATTTATATCATATATCACTAAACAAGTGCATAGACTATTTAATAGACTAGTCTATAGTTCTAGTTCGGGTCTTGTTCTGTTTTAGTTCTGTTCTAGTTCTGTTCTAGTTCTGTTCTAGTTCTGTTCTAGTTCTGTTCTAGTTCTGTTCTAGTTCTGTTCTAGTTCTGTTCTAGTTCTGTTCTAGTTCTGTTCTAGTTCTGTTCTGTTCTAGTTCTGTTCTAGTTCTGTTCTAGTTCTGTTCTAGTTTCTGTTCTAGTTCTGTTCTAGTTCTGTTCTAGTTCTGTTCTAGTTCTGTTCTAGTTCTGTTCTAGTTCTGTTCTAGTTCTGTTCTAGTTCTGTTCTGGTTCTGTTCTAGTTCTGTTCTAGTTCTGTTCTAGTTCTGTTCTAGTTCTGTCTAGTTCTAGTTCTGTTCTAGTTCTGTTCTAGTTCTGTTCTAGTTCTGTTCTAGTTCTGTTCTAGTTCTAGTTCTGTTCTAGTTCTAGTTCTGTTCTAGTTCTAGTTCTGTTCTAGTTCTGTTCTAGTTCTGTTCTAGTTCTGTTCTAGTTCTGTTCTAGTTCTGTTCTAGTTCTGTTCTAGTTCTGTTTTAGTTCTGTTCTAGTTCTGTTCTAGTTCTGTTCTAGTTCTGTTCTAGTTCTGTTCTAGTTCTGTTCTAGTTCTGTTCTAGTTCTGTTCTAGTTCTGTTCTAGTTCTGTTCTAGTTCTGTGCTAGTTCTGTTCTAGTTCTGTTCTAGTTCTGTTCTAGTTCTGTTCTAGTTCTGTTCTAGTTCTGTTCTAGTTCTGTTCTAGTTCTGTTCTAGTTCTGTTCTAGTTCTGTTCTAGTTCTGTTCTAGTTCTGTTCTAGTTCTGTTCTAGTTCTGTTCTAGTTCTGTTCTAGTTCTGTTCTAGTTCTGTTCTAGTTCTGTTCTAGTTCTGTTCTAGTTCTGTTCTAGTTCTGTTCTAGTTCAGATCTAGTTCTGTTCTAGTTCTGTTCTAGTTCTGTTCTAGTTCTGTTCTAGTTCTGTTCTAGTTCTGTTCTAGTTCTGTTCTAGTTCTGTTCTAGTTCTGTTCTAGTTCTGTTCTAGTTCTGTTCTAGTTCTGTTCTAGTTCTGTTCTAGTTCAGTTGTAGTTCTGTTCTAGTTCTGTTCTAGTTCTATTCTAGTTCTGTTCTAGTTCTGTTTTAGTTCTAGTTCTGTTCTAGTTCTGTTCTAGTTCTGTTCTAGTTCTGTTCTAGTTCAGTTCTAGTTCTGTTCTAGTTCTGTTCTAGTTCTGTTCTAGTTCTGTTCTAGTTCTGTTCTAGTTCAGTTCTAGTTCAGTTCTAGTTCAGTTCTAGTTCAGTTCTAGTTCAGTTCTAGTTCAGTTCTAGTTCTGTTCTAGTTCTGTTCTAGTTCTGTTCTAGTTTTATTATAGTTCTAGTTCTGTTTTAGTTCTGTTCTAGTTCTGTTCTGGTTCTGTTCTAGTTTTGTTCTAGTTCTGTTCTAGTTCTGTTCTAGTTCTGTTCTAGTTCTGTTCTAGTTCTGTTCTAGTTCTGTTCTAGTTCTGTTCTAGTTCTGTTCTAGTTCTGTTCTAGTTCTGTTCTAGTTCTGTTCTAGTTCTGTTCTAGTTCTGTTCTAGTTCTGTTCTAGTTCTGTTCTAGTTCTGTTCTAGTTCTGTTCTAGTTCTGTTCTAGTTCTGTTCTAGTTCTGTTCTAGTTCTGTTCTAGTTCTGTTCTAGTTCTGTTCTAGTTCTGTTCTAGTTCTGTTCTAGTTCTGTTCTAGTTCTGTTCTAGTTCTGTTCTAGTTCTGTTCTAGTTCTGTTCTAGTTCTGTTCTAGTTCTGTTCTAGTTCTGTTCTAGTTCTGTTCTAGTTCTGTTCTAGTTCTGTTCTAGTTCTGTTCTAGTTCTGTTCTAGTTCTGTTCTAGTTCTGTTCTAGTTCTGTTCTAGTTCTGTTCTGTTCTAGTTCTGTTCTAGTTCTGTTCTAGTTCTGTCCTAGTTCTGTTCTAGTTCTGTTCTAGTTCTAGTTCTAGTTCTGTTCTGTTCTGTTCTAGTTCTAGTTCTCTTCTAGTTCTGTTCTAGTTCTGTTCTAGTTATGTTCTAGTTATGTTCTAGTTCTGTTCTAGTTCTGTTCTAGTTCTGTTCTAGTTCTGTTCTAGTTCTGTTCTAGTTCTGTTCTAGTTCTGTTCTAGTTCTGTTCTAGTTCTGTTCTAGTTCTGTTCTAGTTCTGTTCTAGTTCTGTTCTAGTTCTGTTCTAGTTCTGTTCTAGTTCTGTTCTAGTTCTGTTCTAGTTCTGTTCTAGTTCTGTTCTAGTTCTGTTCTAGTTCTGTTCTAGTTCTGTTCTAGTTCTGTTCTAGTTCTGTTCTAGTTCTGTTCTAGTTCAGTTCTAGTTCTGTTCTAGTTCTGTTTTAGTTCTAGGGCTGGTGAAGTTTTTCTTCAGTTAATTTTTTCTATAAGAAATAGCACTTAATATATTTGAATTCAATGAACCACAAGTAAACTTTTTTTATATATTTTTTAAAACAAATATTTGCTTTTCCAGCTTTAAAACTAATTGATTTATTTTCTTTTCTTTTTAGGTAAGTTGCTGTTTTACTCTAACCGTTTTATTCAAATAAAAATTGCATTTAAGGTATGAAATTATCAAATTACCAATAAATTATAACTTACATTTAAAATATTTTATTAGATTATTATATTTATAACCAGACTTTATGTCTCATCTCATCTGTTTTAGCAATAAACCCAAATCGATTTTCAATATTTACACGTATGTTCACATGTATTTTACTATAATTTTCAAATTATACTTTAACGTATAAGTAATTTTATGTGTTTCTTGTACATTTTTATTTAAATTCAGTTTTGTTGTCATTTTTTCGTACATGATTTGTGCCATTTGTAAAATGCTGCTGACAATTTGATTGGCATTACAATATTTTATGTTGAAAACACTAAAGTGATGTAGTGTATCGTTGTTGTTGTTGTCTTAGCAGAACCAGAAGATAGTCACTCAAATAAATTTTATAGCTGCCATGACATTTTATTTTTTGTTACTTTGTTAGAGCTACTTGACTCACCTACAGACGAAATGTAAAGGTATGAAATGGGCAAAACACATGCTAACACGAAAAACTAGTTTTTACTGTTTACCCTCCACATTACCTGGCAACACTAAAGTAACTAATACCTTACTTCTAAATTGCAAAAACAATCATATGTAACAAACTTCTCAAAAGAAAATATATAAAAACTGTTTTGCCCATGACTGCTGTAAACACACATGTAGATACTATGTATTTCTAAAACATTTCCTCTTACTTTTATATGAATGTGAAAAGCAAAGTCACTTGCCCCATTATCCAGTGTACTAGTTCTAGCACATCGTACACAACAAACGCATTCATCAATTTTACCCTCTTTCTAGTAATAAAATAAAATTGGCAACAACAAAATAAACACAATAAAAGTAAAATATTTAACGAAACATTTTCTTTTGATCAAGTGTTAGAAGTCAAGGTATACTGAAGGAGGAGTGAGTACTAGTACTCCTTAAACACACCCACACACACATACATATACTTACAACTACAATGAAAAAATTCTTAAAGGAAAGTAATATTATGTATTGAGAACGGAAATAAGACCCAATAGAGAAATAACTGTTATTTTGACAGCATATTTATTTCCTGTTCTTCGTGTGATTTGTAGAGAGGCCCATCAATGCGCTTGAATAGAAAATAATTCGATTTTTGATTAAAGCTAATGATTGTTTTAGTTATCTCTATAGTCATAGGCTAGACTAGAGACTAGACTATAGACTAGACTATAAAATAAACTATAGACTAGACTATTGACTAGACTATAGACTAGACTATAGACTAGACTATAGACAAGGCTATAGACCAGACTATAGACTAGAGTATGGACTAGACTATAGACTAGACTAGACTATAGACTAGACTATAGACTAGACTATAGACTAGACTATAGACTAGACTATAGACTAGACTATAGACTAGACTATAGACTAGACTATAGACTAGACTATAGACTAGACTATAGACTAGACTATAGACTAGACTATAGACTAGACTATAGATAGACTATAGACTAGACTATAGACTAGACTATAGACTAGACTATAGACTAGACTATAGACTAGACTATAGACTAGACTATAGACTAGACTATAGACTAGACTATAGACTAGACTATAGACTAGACTATAGACTAGACTATAGACTAGACTATAGACTAGACTATAGACTAGACTATAGACTAGACTATAGACTAGACTATAGACTAGACTATAGACTAGACTATAGACTAGACTATAGACTAGACTATAGACTAGACTATAGACTAGACTATAGACTAGACTATAGACTACTATAGACTAGACTATAGACTAGACTATAGACTAGACTATAGACTAGACTATAGACTAGACTATAGACTAGACTATAGACTAGACTATAGACTAGACGATAGACTAGACTATAGACCTAGACTATTAGACTAGACTATGACTATACTATAGACTAGACTATAGACTAGACTATAGACTAGACTATAGACTAGACTATAGACTAGACTATAGACTAGACTATAGCTAGACTATAGACTAGACTATAGACTAGACTATAGACTAGACTATAGACTAGAACTATAGACTAGACTATAGACTAGACTATAACTAGACTATAGACTAGACTATAGACTAGACTATAGACTAGACTATAGACTAGACTATAGACTAGACTATAGAATAGACTATAGACTAGACTATAGACTAGACTATAGACTAGACTATAGACTAGACTATAGACTAGACTATAGACTAGACTATAGACTAGACTATAGACTAGGACTATAGACTAGACTATAGACTAGACTATAGACTAGTACTATAGACTAGACTATAGACTAGACTATAGACTAGACTATAGACTAGACTATAGACTAGACTATAGACTAGACATTAGAGACTAGACTATAGACTAGACTATAGACTAGACTATAGACTAGACTATAGACTAGACTATAGACTAGACTATAGACTAGACTATAGACTAGACTATAGACTAGACTATAGACTATAGACTAGACTATAGACTAGACTATAGACTAGACTATAGACTATAGACTAGACTATAGACTAGACTATAGACTAGACTATAGACTAGACTATAGAATAAACTATAGACTAGACTATTGACTAGACTATAGACCAGACTATAGACTAGAGTATGGACTAGACTATAGACTAGACTATAGACTAGACTATAGACTAGACTATAGACTAGACTATAGACTAGACTATAGACTAGACTATAGACTAGACTATAGACTAGACTATAGACTAGACTATAGACTAGACTATAGACTAGACTATAGACTAGACTATAGACTAGACTATAGACTAGACTATAGACTAGACTATAGACTAGACTATAGACTAGACTATAGACTAGACTATAGACTAGACTATAGACTAGACTATAGACTAGACTATAGACTAGACTATAGACTAGACTATAGACTAGACTATAGACTAGACTATAGACTAGACTATAGACTAGACTATAGACTAGACTATAGACTAGACTATAGACTAGACTAGATAGACTATAGACTAGACTATAGACTAGACAATACTAGACTATAGACTAGACTATAGACTAGACTATAGACTAGACTATAGACTAGACTATAGACTAGACTATAGACTAGACTATAGTCTAGTCTAGACTATAGACTAGACTATAGACTAGACTATAGACTAGACTATAGACTAGAGTATAGACTAGACTATAGACTAGACTATAGACTAGAGTATAGACTAGACTATAGACTAAACTATAGACTAGACTATAGACTAGACTATAGACTAGACTATAGACTAGACTATAGACTAGACTATAGACTAGACTATAGACTAGACTATAGACTAGACTATAGACTAGACTATAGACTAGACTATAGTATAGACTAGACTATAGACTAGACTGTATATTCTGTTCTATTCCTGTTCTAGTTCTGTTCTAGTTATATTTTAGTTCGGCTCTAACCCGGTAGTGTATAGTCCAGGCTATAGTCTAATCTCTAATTTAGTTTCCTACTGGCCACTAGTTTTAGTTTTTATTCAAATTAAATATTTAAGGATTTTTCTTTTATTAACCCTAGAAAATACCCAAAAGTACATGTATATTTTCTATTATTCTTGTTTATTCATGCTCTCAAAGAAAGAAACAATTTCCCAAACATTTACTTTCAAAGTAAATGTCCAAAGAAAGAAAGGGGTCAATCAGTAAGTTCTGAAAAACGTGTCATGGAAAAGTTCAATCTCAAATAGAAAAGGTTGAGTTGTGTTGCACATAAACAAAGAATGACATAGGGGAAGTAAAAGAGTAATGGAGAATGCAAAGAGTTCAAAGGACATATTGTAAACATTTAATACAAGTGTCTGTACATATGTGTGTGCGTAAGAGTTGCTGTACAACTGTCAAGTGGAGGACACTTTTGCTATGTATTTTGTCTAGTAAATATTGTATTGAAGTAGTTGTCAAGTATATTATTGATGGACACCAAAGCAAACCGAAAAAAATCTTTCAAATCCAACTAACGAGACACAAATGTAATGAACAGTAGTTAAACACTACATTACAATATCTGTTGACCTTTTATTGTGAAAATAAAATTAAGTATTTTTCCCATTTTTATGTTATCCAGGGATAAAGTTTTTCAAATGAAACCCTCTGTTTGGGTGCTAATTTTGAAATGAAATGCTTTATTTGTTGCGCTCCATATGGCCCTTTTACATTATTTATGATTTCCCTGTGTGTAGTATACAAATTTTTCTGCGTTTTTGTAATACCCAAAATCCTTGAAAAATAAAATTTTTTAAATAAAACAGATTAAACAATTTAAATAAATAATTAAAAGGGCTGGGCGCTGATGATTGGTTGGTTGGCTAAATGTGTAAAAAAGAGATTAATCGTTATAAAAAATTTTCCAATGAATTTCAAAATTTTAAGCAAACATACCGACACATACACATATACACTAATTAAGTATTTATAAACAATTCTAATGGAAAATAAATTAATTCAATTTTCTTTTAATTTTTTTATTATTGTTGGTTTTTTTTTCTTGTGTATACTCTTTTGAAATTGAAAAAATACAAAAAAAAAAAAAAAACAACACGTGTTTTTTAATGCCAATAATCCAAGCAACATTATAACCGTTCGAGCCACCATATACGTACGTCTACTATTTCCATTCCCTGTATTTCTGTACTAAAGTGTCTTTTTTCCTCCGATTATTAAGGAAAATCTATATGTATACACCAACATATTACATCCCACATTTGCAAATAGAGAAGAAGAAAAATCTTGAAAAAATAATGAATTTAATGGATTTTTTGTAAAATCCAAATAAAAGAAATCTTTAAAAATTGAAAGCAGAAAAAAAAACATTCCTCAATATAAACGTTTTGTATGTGAATAAATCTATTTAATTCATTTCTGTACTTGTTGTATGTATGTTTTTTCTTCTTCAATTGATAAATTTTTAATTGAAATATTAGGGTGACTCTTTTTTGGAACAAATATATATGACAATTGCCTATAGACTAGACTATAGTCTAGT